TTTATTTGCAGTTTGTTTACATTTTGTTAATGATACTACTATTTTTACATTCAGTCATCATTTAGTAGTACATTATGTTTACATTATTATTCATAATGTACATTCTATTCACTAATTATTCATAATGTACATTATGTTTTCATTCTGTTAGATTTTGAAGAGCTGCCCACTTAACAATAAGAAGCATTGGTCCTCGATTTTAAGAAAGCTGCGTATGCTCCTACGAGGCAAGAGTTTGATATGCATATAAATAATATAGTGACTGCTATGCCTCTTTCTATAAAGTTCCTTTAGGATTCTAACCCAAATTGTTGGGCGAATTCTTTATTTACTGGAGACCGTTGGGGGATCATGAATAATAATCAAGCAGAATGTTGGAATAATTGGGTGAAGTCGGCACGATTTATTCCTATCGTAGCCATGGTCGATCACATACGGAAGCAAATTATGACCATGATGCATGATCGACGTGAAGGAGGGATGGTTTAATGGCCCGTTGTGTCCTAAGCTCGAAAAAATAATTTCATCTCGCTACGATGCTTCCCGGAGTCTCAAAATCATGCAATCAAGTGAATGGAGGTTTGAGGTTGTTGATGCCGACAAAAGTTGTGACGTGGATTTGCAATCTCGCATTTGTTCTTGTAAAGAATGGCAAATATCTAAGATGCCATATAAGCATGCATGTGCTTGTGTTGAGAGTAAGTCAATGTCCATTTATGATTTTTGTGATCCATATTGTCGGGTTGGGATGTATAGGCAAGCTTATCAAGGTACCATTAACCCTATACCTAACTACGATCATAATGTGGCCTCTTCCTCGATATATCATGATGATGTCATTCATGCTCCGGAAGTACGACCTCAGCCCGGACGCAGGAGGGAAAAAAGAATTCCTTCACAAGTTGATGTTGCGGTTAGGCAGTGTAAGCGTTGTGGTCGTCGTGGACACAATCGACGTACGTGCAAAGAACGTATCTAGATCACTCATGTATTTTGTTCTTTGGGCATGTGTATTTTTTTTGTGCCCAAGTGTATTTTGTTTTTGCCTAGGTGTATTTTGCATTTGGTTAATTGTACTTTGTTTTTTGCCGGATGATGTCTTTTGATCAATTAGTACCAGTTATTTTTGAATTAGTACCATTTATTATTCTAATCAGTACCAGTTATTGATCAATTAATACCTGCTTTGTAGAAAGAACGAAAAAAGGATTACTTCAAATTCGGTCATTTTCAAAATTAGTACAAGTCATAGAGTAAAGAAATACTTGTTTTGTGTCGTTATAGTACCGAATATCGGGTCTGTAGTACCACTTATAAAAATTTGGTTAATTATTACTAAAGGGTAAAAGTGAGTGTTGCCCAGGTGTTAGCGGCACTAACCCATCTTAGCGGCGCTAAGGCTAGGATGTTAGCACCGCTAGCTTTTCTTAGCGATGGGCAGAGTCTGGGAGGCTTTCTAGGTTAGC